GGATGAGAGAAAGAGAGAGAAGACAGAGAGAGAGAGAGAGAGGAAGGGGGGGGGGGAAGAGAATGACGACAGACAAAAACAGAGAGTATACATGTTCTTTAAAATCGCTGTCTTCCCCCATTTCTATCTTATTGTTTGCCTCTCTCTCTCTCTCTCTCCTCTCTCTCTCTCTCTCTCTTCTCTCTCTCTTCTCTCTCTCTCCTCTCTCTCCTCCCTCCCTCCTCTCCCTCCCTTCCCTCCCTCTCTCTCTCTCTCTCTCTCTCTCTCTCTCTCTACTCTCTCTCCTCTCTCTCCTCTCTCTCTCTCTCTCTCTCTCTCTCCCTCCCTCTCTCTCTCTCTCTCTCTCTCTCTCTCTCTCTCTCTCTCTCTCTCTCTCTCTCTCTCTCTCTCTTCTCTCTCTCCCTCTCCCTCTCTCTCCCTCTCCCTCTCCTCCCTTCTCCCTCTCCCTCTCCTCTCCCTCTCCCTCTCCCTCCCTCTCCTCTCCTCTCTCTCCTCTCTCCTCTCTCCCTCTCCCTCTCCCTCTCCCTCCCTCTCTCTCTCCCTCCTCTCCTCTCTCTCTCTCTCTCCCTCTCCCTCTCCCTCTCCCTCCCTTCTCTCTCCCTCTCCCTTCTCCCTCCCTCCCTCCCTTTCCCTCCCTGTCTCCTTTCCTCCCTGTCTCCCTCTCCCTCCTCCGACTCTCTCTCTCTCCCCCTCCCTCCCTCTCTCCCCTCTCTCCCTCCCTCCCTCTCTCCCTCCCTCCCTCTTCTCCCTCTCTCCATCCTCTCCTTCTCCATCTCCCTCTCTCTCACTCTGACTCTGTACATCTTTCGCTGGTCATCTCTCCCTGTGGCCTCTCCCTTTAAAGCTGAGGTCACAGTGGGTCGATAGCACCGCCGTCTCTTGCTAAGGTTAGGAACGCGTAAAGACGATAACCCCGGGGATTCTACTGCTACTTTTTATTATTGTTATTATTGTTGTTGCTGTTATTATTATTATTATTATTATTATTATTATTATTATTACTTTCCATTCTTTCATCTCTTTCATCTTTCCTCCCTTCCTCCCACTCCTCCTCCTCTTCATCTTCCTCTACCTCCTCATTTTTTTCTTTCTCTTCCTCCTCTTCCTTTTCTTGTCTCCTCCTTCTTCTCCCCTTCTGTTCATTCATCCTCTCCCTCATTATCCTCTTCCCTTCTCTTCCCCTTCTCCTCCCCCTCTCCTCCTCCTCCCTTTCTTCCCCCTTTCCCCCCTCTTTTCCTACTTTCCTCTTCCTCATATCGTCTTCCTCTTCCTCCCCGTTCTCCGCCTGCTACTTCCTCTTCCGCCTCCCACCCGCCCATCCTTCACTTCCTTCCTCTTTTCTCCCCTTTCCCTTCTTCCTCTTCCTTTCCTCCCTCCTTCCTCCTTTCTCCCTTTTCCGCTTCCTCCCTTCCTTCCTCCTCTTCTTCCATTTCTTCCTCCTTCCTCCCCTTCCTTCCTTTTCTTCCTCCTTCCTCCTTTCCTTCCTCTTCCATTCCTTCCTCCTTTCTCTCCTTCCCCTTCCTTCTTCTTCCTTTCCTTCCTCCCTCCACCATTCTCCCCTTCCCCCTTCCTCCCTCCTCTTCTTTCTTTCCTTCCTCCTTTCCCCCCTTTCCCCTTCCCCTTCCCCTCTCCCTTCCCTTGCCCCTTTTTTTCTCTTTCTCGTTCGGGAACCATCTTAGAGCAGCTGATACTTACATGCGAGTTATTTCGAGAGTTTACGTCGGCCCCTCTTCCATTACCCCTTCCCGTGTCTCTCCTCTTCGTTGACCTCCTTTTCTGCTAATTCTTTAGTTTTCTTAATGTGTTTGATCGATCTTGCCGAAAGAGAAATTATGAATGGAACCGGCGACCACTTGTTTACTACAGTGACTATTATTTTCACAGGTGGATATGATATTCACTCTTAGTTACGTAACTAGGCTTTGTCTCTCTCTCTTCGTCTGCCTCTAAAAGCCGGTATGCAATCTATCTGATTATCGGTCTGTCTGCCTGCCTCTCCATTCCCGAACAGCTGCTATTTGCATGTGGGTTCACGCCGTGCCAAGTGTCCCCTGAACGGCTTCATTCTCCTGCTCATTGTCTTATGATTTATGTATGATCACTTATTTTCCTGGCTTTTGATAATTGATCTGCCATCGTGGGTTGTGTGTGAGCGTAAATGGTGAAAATTTGCCGGGATTCCGCACTGAAATTCCTGCTCGATTGCGTGTGCGTCGTCTTGCAGGGGCGCTTTCGCAATTAGCTGTCTTCCTTTCCTGATTCTGTGTTCCTTTGCTGCTTCCTGTTTATATGTATATCTTCCTCTATCTTTTTTCGTTTCTCTCTCTCTCTCTCTCTCTCTCTCTCTCCTCTCTCTTTCTCTTTCTCTTTTTCTTCTCTTCTCTCTCTCTCTCTCTCTCTCTCTCTCTCTCTCTCTCTCTCTCTCTCTCTCTCTTCTCTCTCTCTCTCTCTCTCTCTCTCTCTCTCTCTCTCTCTCTCTCTCTCTCTCTCTCTCTCTCTCTCTCGCAGTTTCTCACCCATTACTAAAGTTATAATAGATATACACATGAAATAGAAATGAGAAAATAAAAAATGGATACGAGCTCCTCAAACCAGCCCATTTTTCACTTTTTAATTTTTTTTTCTTGTTTTTTCGTCGAGGAAATTGCGCTTTGTGGAGGTCCGCCAGGGGGGCTTGTTGGGTCCTTCGCTAATTCCTTTTGTTACAGAATAAGTCGACGTTGGATATTCCATACTTTTATTATCTGCATGTATTTTTTCTGCTGATGTCTGTTCATTTATTCATTCTCATTTAAACGTTTAATATCTCCCTCTTCTGTCGCTCTATCTCCCACCCTCCCTCTCTCTCTCTCTTCCTCCTCCTCCTTCCCATCCTTCCTTTCCTCCCCTCCTTCTCCCTTTCCCTCCAATCCACCATCCATATCACCTCGATCTAACGACCGATCCCCTGTCCGTCCTGCAGGAGTGGGTGTGCGAGGGCTGCGGCGGCATGATGTCCCCGTCCGTGCGGCTGACCGGGGGCTCTCGCTTCTACGGGCGTCGCCAGCCGGAGTGCGCCGTCTGCGAGCCCGACACCTCCGTCCGCCAGATCAACCTCCCCTACGCCTTCAAGTACCTGGTGGCGGAGCTGGCCAGCGTCGGGATCAACACCAAGATGACCCTCAAGTCGGCCGAGGACATCATTGCGCAGCGGCCCCGAGTGGAGGCCAAGCAAGCATAGGGGCATGTAATATTTTCCTCTCTCTCTCTCTCATATACTGTTCTAGATACATTTAAGTGAATTTTGTATTCTTTATTTTCTCTTAGACTTGGGTAAGTTGTACTTTAATTTATTTGTTTCTCCGACTTTCCACCTGGTAGCCCCTAATTCCCTGTGATATGGTTTCTGTTTCTGTCTTCCTGCCTTTTCTCTCGCCAACTTTACTGCCTCGTTCTTCCGTATGTGCATATATATGTATGTATATGCATAAGCAGAAAGAGATTCTTTTCTGTGGCCTTAGACCTATGATGTACATTGTTAAATAGCCAGTAATCTGTTGTATAATGTAATGAATAAAGCACAAATATTTCACATTATTGTCTTTCTTCTTTATCCCAAGTTGAAAAAGTGCATGAATCAGCAAATCACACCCGAGCATTGAACTTGGGTGAACTTTTTCAATTGTAATTAGTAGATTATTAATCGTCTTGTTTGCCCAATTACAGTTCAACGTACTCGAAACTTTTGACTATATCGTTATCAACATTTTTAGAAAATGTTTTTCTGTATTACATTTACCTGTTTGTTTAATATACGTTTGGTCTTGTTTACTTGCAATGTTTTGTGCGACAGCTGAAATTATATACAGTTCTAGCCAAATGGAGTATGTATGTGAGGTGAGTTCTCATAGTTCAATGAGTATAGCAGTTGAATAATGGAGTTCTTTTTATGAAAGTTCAACACAATTTAACCTAGGAATGTCAAAACTGCTACGTTTACATAATGTTATAGAACTTTCTGTGTACAAACTAGATTTATTAAGAAAGTGAAATAAGTTTTGAAATCCTCTCACTTCTTAATTGAACGGTATTCATTGTAACAAATGAAATACATGTTTCCGGCGAAGATACATTGAAAATCTATCAAATACAACTCTTGTATTGTGAAGACATTCATTTTCATTCATATCTCTTCTACTCTTCTCACGCTTCGGTAATTTTAGTTCTGAATAGTGGGGTTTTCTATTACATCTTAACTTCTTGAATTGAGAAAGGTCAATGCCTGTGTAACTACTGAAATAAATACAAGGTCTCTAAGATTCATTCCCTTGATCTACATTTTTCTCATTTTTGTGACAAGTGACCCTTAAAAAAGAAGCTAGGTGCCTTGTCTTTCTTTTATATTTCCTAGTGAGTATGGAAAAAATATACGAAATTACTCTTGTTTAGGAATATGCTAAATACAAGGAGGAATCGTGCAGAAAACATCCAGGGAAGGATTGTTCACCTCCACACTAATATCCAAAAGAGACTTTGCTCCTGTTATGATCTTGTCCAAATAGGCTTTCAAACTCGCCTTGGAAAAAAAGGCTACGTTTCTCAGTAAAATGTAATTTTTCCGGTCTCTTTATTTTACAAA